GTTCTTTTTCCTCTATTTTGAACTCTCCTTCCTATTGTGAAATTGGCATTTTGAACACTTCATAATATTATCTAATCTGTCCTTCAATACATTTATAGTTATAAAAAAGTTCTAAAAGTAAAAAAGTTTTTTACTCTTGATATATACAAGGTTGCGTAAGTTTTTGCGAGGCTTGACGGATATCCGGGGGGAGGTGTCACTAATTCGGACAATGCCAGACAAGGGGGGAAGGGGGGGGTGGAGGAGGGGGGGGGTCTGAAAATCGATCATTTGGCCGACCCCTATATCAATGTCTTGTAATGCGAAGTTGAAAGTAAAAGTTTTCAAATTTTCAATCCTGCACAATTTCATATTCAATTACATCTTTATTTTTTTGGAATAAAATGCTATAGAATGCCAGGCAACAGACAAGCGAATTTTTCTACGATAAGCACACTTGTCAGTTCAAAACCTATCATGGTGACGTTTCAACCAAGGGCACTTTTCATATAGAGAAACATGGCAAAGTACACATTTTCCTCGTTTGCATGCAAGGGCCGACAAAGAAAATTTGAGAAAGTAACTTGAGCACTTTAATGCTGTTGGATAAGTATATACTAATAAAGAACTTACTGGTCTGTGACCGGCTTTATGGCGAAAATGATTTGTGGAATACATCAAAAAGTTATCTCTGAAATTTCACATTGTATTTTGCTTTGATTTTTTATAATTACGTACGGGATTTTTGACATTTTAAAGTCATTTTTGATAGCCGCTGTGTTTGCTTATTATATGCATGGCAATGTTAGCGAACATTTTCTATTTTGACAAATTACTGTTCTGCTTGTATATTGAAATATTTATTCCTACAGTTCTCGGATGATTTTCAATTACACAAAATAATCATCAGTATGGTTATATTTAACATTCTATTCTATCTCAAACTACTTCTGGTACATAATTCTACTTTTAATCATTCATCATAAACGCAATATGATGATTCAACATATGATGATTCAAAATTTATGAAGTCAACTTGTTGTCTCAAGGAAATGAGTTCAACATTCTTTCATTGTTCACACAACAACAGCAGTGTGAAAATATCTTCCCTTAGACATTTTTGGAAGTTCTTGCCAAGTATAACTTTCAAAGTTGAAGGCTTCAGCTGACTTTAAGTAACGTGAATACTCATCCACACCTCCCAGTACTACAATGTTGTTTCCAATAACAACTGCAGCACATCCCCATCTCTTACATCTCATTGGCAGCAGCATGTGACTTTGTTCAGTCTTGACATTGTAAATGATAACTGTATCTAATGCATTGGCACATTTGTCAACGCCGCCTATAATAACAATGTTGTCTCCCCATCTCACAGTTGCCATCTGACTCACTTCATACGGCAGTGGTTCCAACTGTTTACATTCATTCTTCTTTATATCATACAGTACGACACTGTTGAGGCTGTCTCGCCGTCTGTCTGTTGGACTTCCACCAACGATCAACAAGTTATCATCAAATAATTGCATGCTGTGAACGTGTCTTGGTTCAGGCATTCTTGACAAGGTCCTCACAGTATATGGAGGCACCAGCTGGACTTCGTGAATACAGTCAGATATTGCATTTGCATTGTGACCACCAGTGACTATCAAGTGATCATTATACAGCACACTGCTGTGGTATGTCAACTTAGTAGGCAGTTCAACAGGACAGCAACTCCAATGCATTGAGAGATCAGGGTTCGGGTTGATATTCATTCCAATCATATCACCGACACGGCCAGGACAGTAACCTCCAGCAATTGTCACATGATTGTTGTAAACAAATGAAGTCGCTCCAAAACGCTCGGTTGGCATGGATTTTAATGGCGACCATGTTCTTTGACGCCAGTTAAACATCTCTACAGAGCCATCTACTGTACCTCCAGCAACAATTATATTTTCGTTATCACCACTTGCTGTATTTCTTACTTTTGTTGTGTTTTCTTCCGTAATGTCCTCCATCTTGACAAGAACATCTTCCATTTCTTCAAAACCTTCGATCAAAGCTGTTTTCAATCCTCTCACTTCATTATTTACTGATTCGAGCTTTCCTTCCATATCCGCAGTGTTTCTCTCCATATTTTTCAGATGGGTTTCCATGGTAACCACAGCTCCCACATTCGTCGCCATATTCTTCTCGACATTGGCCAATCGCGTCTCCATATTCGCAGCATTTGTCACCATACTCGTCTGCATATTCTTCATGTGGGTTTCCATGGTAACGACAGCTCTCATTTTTTCAATATTTGTCGCCATATTCTTCTCGACATTTGCCATTCTTTCCTCCATGTCTGCCAACGTTTTTGTCATTTCTTCGCACGAGTGGCACTTCAACTTTCGAAATTTGCAAATTTCACTCTGATGGTGAATAAGATCACGCTGGTTTAAAGTTGCACCACAGCCTTGGTTAGTACAAACGACTGGTGTAAATCCACATTTAGGCTCGTGGTGTTCAAGACGTTGTAATTGTAAGATCTCTTGACAACCTCTGTCGATGTAAATGCAATGAATGTTTAATTCATTTATATAATCTTTTACCATTCGTGGTGGTTCGGCCAAAGTCTCCACAGTCAGTTCGTCCGCACACGTAGGGCATCTTCGAAAATTTTCGAGGTGTTTCGTAATACAAGAACGGCAGAAACAATGATGGTTTCTTGGACACAGGACGGGCTCTCTTAAAACGTTGAAGCAAATCAAACAGATAAAATTTTGATTGACTGTGGTCGCAAACCTCTCCTCATCATAGCCTTGTATGTACGACGCCATATTTCACGCCATTCCTGTGTCGTATAAATAACAAAGCAACTTCTGTGTTGATGTTAGTCGCTCTGTAGTATAAACAACCTCGCTATATAGACTGAATATAGATACAGTGTTTGATCTTCCAGAGACTGTGTGCTGGTATTTGCTTGAAATTTTTAGCAAAATGTCTGTTTAAAGCAGCAGATTAATATCGCTTCCGCATATAAAGTGTTTAAAGCGTCTTTACCAGACAGGAATTTGCTATTTTGCTGGCATGAAATAGAATATTAAATACCCAGAAACGATAGTTTGAAACAATACACATGATGTCAATGACAGACAAAACCCAGTTTTTGAAGAATGTTTGCGTTTAGGGACCGGTCATTAATAATGGGGGGCGATGGGTGAGAGAAGGGGGCAGCTTCAACTATTTTTGCCTGAATTGGGGGCGGCCTCAAACTGAAACTCAAATATGTGACAAGGGACAACCCCAATTTTTTAATACTTTCATACTCATTTTCAATCTCCCATTTTATCGTATCCCACAAAATATTTCACCTTTCTTAGTTCCTAAATCGTAGTTTCCATAGTTTATTACGTATATGCAGTTCACCAAAGCAGTCGGAGTGAATAACAACTATTTTGAATACTGGTCCTCTAATTATTTAGGCTACACAATGTCCTAATACACTAGGACTTGTCCTATTAACTATTTTACACAAAACATGTAACGAATTAAATGTTGGAGTGGGGGGTGGGAGTCCTAAATTTTCTAGATGAAGGTGGTGGCGTCTTGAAAATTAAGGTCTTGCGTCCATCTTGCAAGCCGACTCGCATCAAGTTCGGATTTTTTCATTCGCCCAAGCGTTCTCACTTGTTTTACGCCTTACCGTACGAAACAAGTTAATTACAATGCGTTACTGTGCGAGTCCACTTGACACTTGTAGCAAGTAGGCCTATATCTCTTAAACTCTCATCATTTGTTTTATATTTATATATTACTACACTGCTTGTATTGATTGCAGGAACATATAGGACAAAACAACGTTGTTCCAATATTAATGAAGTGAAATGTAGATACGAAATATAAAATGGAAAAACACATATTTTGAAAGTAAGTAAGAAAATCACATATTTTGAAACCAATAAATAATATGTAACGACTTATGTCATTCATGAAAGATTATGAGTTACATTTGGGTGACACCCTCCCTCTTCGGTTTCTATCATTTTTTCTATACATAGAACAAAATTTGTCTTTAAACCCTGAATCATTTATCCAGACATTAAACTTTCTTTCATTAAGCCATAGTTTGGTTTTCTTTCCTGTCATTGATATATCAACACATATAGCGCGAGTCTCTGGAACACAAGCAAAATATATATTTCATGGAATATCAAGAGATTCTTGACTGAGTAAAAAGCTACCACGTACACTATGCAATGTCCCAGCCTATACCTAGGCCTTTACTAGGCTGGCTTTGACAGGTTTGGTCAATTTCGGGGCTAGCATTTGGTAAGTATCGCCATGGTATTTTCGCTTTCGCCCTTCCTCCGCCCCGCCCCCAAATCGCCTAGGTCCCAGTCTTCTCATGTGAAAAAGCGCTGAATATTAAAAAAATTATAAAAATAGGCCCTAGGTCTAGGCTGATGTAATGTCCGTAACATTTTATGTATAAATGTCCGTATCATAGCATTTTCACACGAAATAAAATTGCAATATAGAATTGTAGAGTTGTACTACCATATATCAAGACTTCTAGCCTGTTTTTATAAACAAGACGCTCCATGGAGCGTTAATCCGCTGCGACTATGGAAATATGTAAGTTGTGTATACGTTCTACTGATCTGATGCAAGTTTTCGCTCTTTGTACCGAATGTAGCCATCTATTCTGTGGTGTAGCACCTTATACATTGGTGTTATACGAGTGTACCACTAAAGAATTAGAGCGCGTTTGCTTTTTGAAAAATATTGATTATTTGCACTTTGCCTGGCAGTTTGCGCTAATGAGTTCGTTATAAACATCGTATTAAATTGCAATGGAATTTAAATTGGGTTGATACTGACAGAAGGCAATCATGCCTATTAAAAAATCAGGCTTCATCATATGCTGTACACTATTAATATGACGCTGTAAAAATCTCGTTTTAACGAAAGTTATAAGATGAAACAAACCAAACCATATAGACTGTGACGGCGTATTCTGTAATCGAAAGCTAAGTTGTTTAAATTTGCCCTAGATCATTAATTGGTAATTGATAATTTGGTATACGCTATTCGGTGGCCACGAAGTTCGCTATGTGTTACGCTTGTAAACCTGTAGTACAACGGTTTTCAACTGGTTTTCTCATGTGTCCCCGATTTCACATGATTGAATTACCACGTCCCCTGAACAGAAATTGCCCACTGAAGTCTATCAAAAACACGAATTTCGAAATAGTTAGTAAAATAGTAAATGATTTAAATTTTAAATAATAGATAGAAAGTCAAGCAAACATGTTTATAGTACAAACTATTGTAACTACTCGAATACCAGGAAATAATGGAATTTTTTTTCTCAGTCCTAGACCAGTTTGTGTCCCCTAGGAATTTGCCAAATGTCCCCTCTCGGGGACATGTCCCCCAAGTTGAAAACCGTTGCTGTAGTAGTTCAATCGTTTCACGATCAAAGTATTGTATTCAGAAAGAAAAGTTTGCAAAATAGTCTCTGCCTGTTATGTCCGTAACGGTGGAATGACCCGTCACCCAAATATATTTTTGGCAAAAGATGAGGTAAAATGTAATCATGTACTTTGCACAAAATAATTAAAACTGATTATGGAACTTGAAGCTTCTTTGGCAAACAAACGTAGACCTCGTTCAAACCTCGAACTTTTCATACGCATGATAAGTGCGACGTTTCAACGTTTAATTTTTGCAACGAAGCTATGGACTGACAATGCATGCCATTTTATTTTTAATTTAATTTTGTACATAGTTCATACAATGATTATAGTCAGCTTCTTATCTCAACTACATGAATTGTTATTTATACATTATTAAACCTATATAATTTTGAATTGCACAAAAAATGGTCAGTTTGATATATTTTTGAAATAGTCGCGCTATCGGGTTCATCACAATCACAATTTTGGGACTGTATATCTTTCATTTATACTAGTATTTATTATATCATATGCATTCAATACAACAATCTTTTCCAATCGAAGTTACAAAACATTTTTTTTCAACTGTATTATTACCGTCGAATTATGTTGGCGTCATCCGGAAATTACCGTGTAATCCGGAAATTACCATGTAAGCATTATGCATCGCCATTGTTCATTGATCTCAATTTAACCATTAAATTACATTTTATGTTTTACTAGGATTAATTATAAAATATCTGAGTAATCTGACAATATATAACAATCTATCAGTCAAACTACTACGGCTAGTACCTAACTCTTCTTTGAATCATTCAAAATGTTCAATATATTTCAAGTCAACTTGTTATCTCTCGAGTATTTATAGATTACTATTACATTATATCGAGTCTGAGTTTTGGTCGTGTGTCGTGGGTAAAAAGTCGTGCGTCGTGCGTGAAAGTCGGGGGTCGAAAAATGCTCTAAATTTCCAGTTGTCGTTCAAACACTGCTTTTGCTATATAATTTCTGTTTTAGCAAAACGCGTATAAGCGAAAGGCAATGCCCAACTGAATATTTAACCGAAATTCTTCATATTACGCGTTCGAACTGGAAATGTTATGACGCAATTAAAGGAAACCTTAATTACATGCATAAAACGTCATAACATTTCTTTAGTTACTTGCCCGCTTTTGACTTTAGTTCGAAGTTCGAACGCGTAATATGAAGAATTTCGGTTAAATATTCAGCTGGGCATTGCCAATCGCTTATACGCGTTTTGCTAAAACAGAAATACTTGAGCAAAAGCAGTGTTTGAGCGGAAACTGGAAATTTAGAGCATTTTTCGACTCACGACTTTCACGCACGACTTTTTACCTAACATACGACCAAAACTCAAACTCCAGCATATCTACCTATACCCTCAAACTACCTCTGGTTACCTGGCTCTGCTTTTAATCGTTAATTACGAATGCAATATGATTGAAGTCAACTTGTATTTTCAAAGAAATGAGTTCAACATTCTTACATTGTTCACACAACAACAGCAGTGTGACAACCTCTTGCTGTAGACATTTCTGGAAGTTCTTGCCAAGTATACCTTTAAAAGTTGAAAGCTTCAACTGACTTCAGTTCACCTTGTTCACTTACGCCGCCCAGTACTACAATGTTGTTTCTAATAACAACTGCAGTACATCCCCATCTCTTACATCTCATTAGCGGCAGCAAGTGACTTTGTTCAGTCTTGACATTGTAAATGACAACTGTATCTAATTTGTTGTCACGTTTGTCAACGCCACCTATAACAACGATGTTGTCTCCCCATCTGACCGTTGCCATGTGACTCACTTCATAAGGCAGTGGTGTCAACTGTTTACATTCATTCTTCTTTATATCATACAGTACCACACTACTGAGGCTCTCTTGCGACTTAGTAGTTGTTCTTCCACCAACGATCAACAAATTATCGTCAAATATTTCCGTGCTGTGAAACTGTCTTGGTTCTCGCATTTTTGATAAGGTCATCGCAGTATAGGGGGGGCACTAGCCGGACTTCGTAAATAAAGTCAGATACTGCATTTCTATTATAACCACCTGTGACTATCAAGTGATCATTATACAGAACATTGCTGTGGTTTACCAACTTAGCAGGTAGTTTTAACAGGATAGACACTCCAGTGAGTTGAGAGATCAGGGTGAGAGTCAACATTCATTTGAACCATATCATCGACATAGCCAGAACAGTAGCCTCCAGCAATTGTCACATGATTCTTGTAAACAAATGAACTCGTCCCCCTACCTACGCTCCTTTGGCATAGATTGCAATGGCGACCATGTTCTTTGACGCCAGTTAAACGTCTCCACAGACTCAGTTGCATAACCTCCAGCAACAATTATATTTTCCTTATCACCACTTGCTGAATTTCTTACTTTTCTTGTGTTGTCTTCTTTAATGTCCTCCATTTTGACAAGAACATCCTTCATTTCATCAAAACCTTCAATCAAAGCTGATTTCAATCCTCGCACTTCATTATTTACAGCTTCGAGTTTTCCTTCCATATCCGCGGCGTTTCTCTCCATAATTGTCTGTAAATTTTTTATGTGGGTTTCCATGGTAACCACTGTCTCCCTTTTTGCCATATTCTTCTCGACGTTTGCCATTCTTTTCTCCATATCTGCCAACGTTTTTGTCATTTCTCCGCACGTGTGGCACTTCAACTCGCGAAATTCGCATAGTTCCCTTTGATGGCGAATAAGATCACGTTGGTTTAAAGTCGCACCACAGCCTTGGTTTGTACAAACGGCTGCTGTAAATCCACATGTAGCCTCATGACGTTCAAGATGTTGTAATTGTAGGATCTCTTGACAACCTCTGTCGATGTAAGTGCAATGAATGTTTAATTCATTTAAAATATCTTTTACCATTCTGTTGGGTTCAGCTAGAGTCTCTACGGTCAGTTCGTCCGCACACGTAGGGCATCTTTTGGAATTCTCGAGGTGTTTCGTAATACAAGCACGGCAGAAACAATGTTGGTTTCTCGGACACAGAACCGGCTCTTTAAGAACGTTGAAGCACATCAAACAGAGGAAATTTCGATTGACTGTGGTCGCAAACCTTTCCTTATCATAGCCTTGTATATAAGATGCCATATTTCACGCCATTCTTGTACGTTTCGTAATAACAAAGCAAGTTCTGTGTTGATGTTAGTCGCTCTGTAGTATAAGCGTACGTCGGTATAGCGATACCAAGAAAAATCGATATGGACTGCAGAGTAAATATTATTATGACCGATGTGGATTAAGTCTGTATTACAATTAGCTTCACATTATTCACAAAATTGTGTCTTGAGAGCAACAGACAAATATCGCTTTCGTGCAAGTATTTCAAGCGTCTTTTGCAGACTGGTATTTGTTTATACAAGCAGGGCGTAGTACGCCCTGATACAAGATAGGATTTTCTGTACCGCGACGGGTGGTCATCACCTCATATTAATACTGGCTTGCAATTGGTCACATTATGTTGACAAGTATGTCTTGTTTCAAAATATGGAAATGATTTCCACGAAAATGATTTCAATACCAAGAAACGATAGTTTGAAACAATACATAAATTACAGACAACTTCAGTTTAGTCAGTTTTTAAAGAATGTTTTTGCGTTTATAGTACTAACTCGTATTTCTTTCATACATTGGTTATACTTTATCATTTCGTCAATATATTCAATAGTTAATTAAATTAATCTATAAGATATACGATCAATAAAGGCTAGGAATATGCTAAAACCAAGAAAGGCATTTAATTCAGACCTCTAGTAGGGACAAGGAGACTTCAAATGACTATAGCTGTGTTCAACTTGTCTACTTTCGAGGCCTTCATGCAAAATTGAAATTTTCACTGCAGTGACTATACCTCTAGTATTATAATTAAGGTTACCTAAAATGTGGTAACAGCTGCTTTTTTGGCACAAACTCAAGTGTCGAAGTCAAGAAAGATAGAAGCTAGAACATGCATGATGCGTCTTACCTAATTGTAAAATTTCGTTTACTGTATGTCGTACGAATTGTTTCCGCTCTCCTCGGTTCTGCATTCAACATAGTACAGTTTTACTATCAAGCCAATACGTTACTCTACTTAATTGCAATTCTAAAGCGCTCTAATAAGTTTGGCTAACAATGTGGCGGACATTAACTCTAACCTATAAGCATGCATAGTTAACCTTTTAAGTGGCGCAACTCTAGATTCACTCGCTATCATTTTGCGTCCGACATAAAATATAGACAATAGCTGAATACGCTATATTGCTTACAGCTAGCAACCGCAAAGCCATGCATGCAATTGATAATTCTAACACTGGAGATATAATGCCTATGGTGGATGAAAAATTTGTAATAATACACTAAGTACATTCCGTTTAGTAAGCCTTCCTGCTGCGCTAATTATGCTCTTCAAATCAAATTTGATCTTATCACGCCGCTCTCAAAATAGACTTGCTCGAAGTCGACTCCTATCAAGTTCGGATTTTTTCATTCGCGCACGCGTTCTCACTCGTTTTACGCCTTACAATACGAGCCAGAAGTTACGATGCTTTAATACGGTGCGTGTCCACTTGTAGCAAGCCTCTATCTGGTATCCGGTCAAAACGTCCCATGTG